AAAAGCGGGACACCACAATGAGATTATTCACAATGTAATAATACATGCATATTCATGGCACCTGAAAAATTTGGTGAGCGCTAGAAGCCTTTTAGGCGAGTACCAGTCATGAGACACTCGTCAAATGCAAACTGACGAGTTTTCAAAAATTAAGCCGCACACCCTGCAGTAAAGGATGGGTGGTACATACAGTATATATGACGACGAAGGACTTCATTCTAAATAGATTGAGAGGAAGAATGATCGAAAGAATGTTTATGATATAACTTACATACTTAAAAATTGTCTTCGTCATATTGGGGTAACAGTTCACATAAAAAGCATTTACTTATATATGATGCGGCCAAAATCATAATCTTTCTCAAGTTGATATTGAACTCTTTCACAGACAGGTACTGCTTCATTAGTTCCCTGAATATATTATAATTCAACAAACTTCTCATGGAAATGCTCTTCTCTAAGATAGGGAAATATGTTTTAGAGAATTTGGCATTGGATATATCCTTGGCAACTTCTTTCCTGCACTCAGCTTATGATTGTGATTATTTCCGGCTTCATATATCCATAGAGAACAAAGGAACACCATCTGTCTTGTCTTATAATTTTTAAAATGTTCACTTTTTGGTTAGGATAGCTGATTCTTCCTTAATCTTCCCATCCATGAAATGTTAAGATATCTTACATGTATCACTCCTCATTTTGACTGACCAAAATTATTGAGGTGGCTCACTGTCTCCATGCACGAAGATTCTGGCCCTTGAGTCTAGCTTGACTGTAAACTGTCAGCTCAAATGACAGTAAACTGTCAGCTCACTCTGAGATCTACCAATTACAGTAGTACAATCAAAAATTGATTCTACAACCCCTAAAACACTCGAAAAGATGAAACACAAAAGTACCTATAATTGTTGATGAAACTCTAGGTAGGCCTTTTGGTTGTCATTTTAATAATTAACGATTACAGACATAAATAATTGTGTCATATTTGTGTTCAGCCTCAAATTTCGCTTCTGCAAACACCTGTTATGGACATTTTTCAGGTTTGCCCTATCCACTATATATTGTCTCTAAATAAAGAATATGACTGCTTTTCGTGCACAGTGGCTTATCAAGTTACTCCATGCACATATCATTTTCGCAATATTTTGAGTGTATTTCTTGTCTTTAAGTACAAAACAGAAAAAATGTCAGATAACATCTTCCACCTCCCAACATTACATCAAGTGCGGTAGACTACAGTACCTTTATTTATTTAAACCACAAACCAGGGTAAATTGTGTAAAAACATCCCTGTTTAAAATTGTTCTAATTGTTTGGGTCGAATGCTTTCATGTTTGCCCTATTTTGCTTTTTTATTATTTATTTATTTATTTATTTATTTATTATTATTATTTATTATTATTATTATTATTATTATTTTTTTTTTTTTTGCAAAGTATATCAGAATTCCGATATATTTTCCTGGTAGTTTTCAGCCTTATGCACGCAACACTCGTTTCCCTGTAGTAAGGTTGCTGTGTGATTTACTCCTAGTATTTTTTTTTTCTTTCAACCCATAATCATTTGGTTTGCCAAAAAGAAAAAGAATGAAAAATGTTGCCATTTTATGAAAAAGATATAAGAACAATAGTCCATCCCAGATTGTTATTATTCTGAGTCCTGAGAGGGTGATGCTGTTCTATTCAGTATGTTGACTTTGCAAATCTAAATTAATGATGTGATGATTGAGTGTCTGTGGAAAGAATATGATTGCAAGATTTTAGCTGCAATATTGTGTACCTGTAGATTTAAACTTCACATATTAAGGTCTCACTGCAGTTTATTCAGTTAAAAATCATTGTTATTACTTACCGTTATAGATGTACTGCTATTGTGTAGTGGGATTCAGTTATACTTGTCTATATCTTACAACCGTATTGACTATGCCTTATTGCATATTTTTGAGCTAAATATTGTAAGATGTCTTATATCTCTGGATATAGCAAGTTTTGGTTTAGTTTTGGTTTCACTATCATTGTAAATGTAATATTAAGTGTGACACAAGTATCAATCCATTTGTTCCACAAAAATATGGGAAATATGGCAATGAGAGAATGTAAAGTTCTGACCTCAACTCAGTAATGACACTCAATAATGTATTTATAAACCAGAATGTAGTTATTTTTATTTTGTTTTCATATAAGGAGTCATAATTTTCATATATATGTAGTTATAACTTCTGTTCATCCACTTAATAATCTGTCATTTTTCCTGACATTGCTATCCAATTGGAGCCCAATGGCTAATTGCAAATTTTGGGGCTAAATGTCGTTCTTAAAGCCAGTGTATAATATGTTTTGTTCCAATTATTTTTATTATACATGTAAAAGGGAGTTTTACTAACTTTGCGCCACAATATATAAATTTTATGAATAGCATTTTGTAAATAGCATTTATTGAGTGATCAAGTAATGTTTAAATATCTACACGTGTTTTAATTAATTTCCTTGTTTAAATAGAACTTTATTTGTCTTAATAGTATTTCTTACACGTTTTATTGTAGAGTATACTAAACAAATTTGCATTTTAGACTCAAAATAAATATTATTATTATTATTATTATTATTATTATTATTATTATTATTGTTATTGATATATTACAAGAGGGTTGCAACGTGTGTTATTTGACATACATACGGAGTGAACGTGTTCGTATTTCACCGAAAAACAACCCTAAAACAAAATAAAGCATGCAGCCTGGTTAAAAGTTTTAATTCCATTAAAACAGTGAGAGAGCCAGTCCTCTGCCAAGGAAATTCAGTTTTTATTATTATTATTATTATTATTATTATTATTATTATTATTGATGTATTATACCATTAATTTGGACAAAATCTAATCGATTCTAATTCAGGTAGCCTATTTTTGACCTGTCCTTAAAATTTTGCTCCATTCATATCCTGTTGAGTCAGGTTGTTTGTTGAAAAAACAACAACAAAAACGTCACCTTAGAGATAACCTTAAAACCTAGCAATCATAACAGTGTTTGTGACCTGCTACCCTGGGCAGGGTATGCCCCAGCGTTATAAACTTGCCCTGTGTGTAAAACAACGATAAGGGCACTGTGCACACGTACAAAGCTTTTAAGCTTAAAAGTGAAAGAAATGATACCGTCCCCACACATAATGAAATATCTCATGTACTTTTTTTTAAAGCAGTCATCTCAAATGATTATTCAAATGTCTTACTGTTTCAATCTCAAGTATTTCTCCCTGCTACCAGAACTTACAGTTGGTGAGATGTTGGTAAATGATTGGTTTTGGATCACTAGAAATTGATTTATAGTGTATTTGTAGTATTGTCGTTACAGTTGGGTTGCACTTCATTAACAGAAGAACTGTGCACGCTATTTGAGATGATCTCAACTCAAAGAAATCTGCTGAAATGTTTTCTGTAAATTCGGTTGTAATAATTATTGCTTTTTATTTTTCAATTTTGTTTCAGGAGCATTTTCAGCTCCTTGTGGCCTTATGTCCCACACGGGACGAAGAGGAATGATTTCAGCTCCTTATTGAATTTAATTTTTTTATGTGAAAGAGTTTTGCCAAGTTCTGTTGTGCGTGTTAACTTTACATTATAGATTTTTTTATTAAAAAACGCTTGTAAAAAAAAATTACCACAAAATTTAATTCCAAATAAATGCTTACAAAAGTACAGCAGGCAAAAACATCACCCTCTAATGGATTTCCATTCGCATGCATTAGGTCACATATAAATTCAGTTTATAAAATCCAACTACAATTCACTTGAATAACATAATGATAATCATACCAGATTTCAGAATATTAAAGTGTTTAGTTCCTACTCTTAAGAGAGTTTTTATTACAATCCCAGCTTGCCCACGGGAGTTACTGTTATACACCATTGGCAGGTTAAAGGGTGTGGGTAGGGGGTCCTTACCCCCCTTCGGTTTCTGAAAAAAATCACATATAGAGAAAACACATGTACATGTAAAATGATGGATCGGATAAAGGGGGGAGGGTCATGTGCAGGTACCCTTCTTCTCCCTCACCTTCCACAAAAATAAAATCATCATCGAAGCGAGACAAAACCTAGAACCTTTTCGACCCTTGTGCCCTACCGGAAAGTTCAAATTTTACTAAGTACTAAAATCTTCTGTTGTATGCATGTATATGTAAAATTCTAATTATAAAACGTCGTCACAAATTTTCTACTGTTGTACAATCATTTAATCCGCCCCCCCCCCCCACCCCCCGCTTCAGCAAAAACCAGGATCCACCAATGACGTCAAGTTTATGAATCCCTTCTTTGAACTGTCCTATGACTCCGGCCCACAAATACATGCTGTTATTGCGTACGTGCATTGTTTGCACGCTTTTTATTTAGCTTTAGCTATGTATCCAACACCAGTTAACCTTGTGCTTGTTGTGATGTGCTTTAAATTGTGCTAGTTGAGAAAAGATCGTTCTCGGAGAACACAATGGATGTGTCTAACAGGGTGTCAGGCACCCCCGTTAATTCCACCATATTTACTTCCTCGATTGCACTAATGATAGTCACAATAGTCGCAGTTCTATAAACAGTGTCAAAATTTGATGGCATGATTCACGACCACTTCCCGCGTTAAAATGACACGCCTACACGACTTGGTCGCGTTCTAAATCCGAGGAAGCAGACACATTACAGTAGGCACGTGTGGTATATGTATGTGTGGGCAGTGGCGGGGTCCTGACCCCACCCCTTCGATTTCTGAAAAATATCATACCAATGGTCCCATCTTGAAATTAGAATGCTGACTAGCTAAATCATAGTTCTAAACAGTTCCAAATGGCACCGTTCGCCTTCGCGGTCCCCCTGCTCCCCTTCAAATAATCCTGTATCCACCCCTGCGTGTGGGGTTATTTCACATTAGTTATATAATTCATAATTCATCCACCGTGTTAGTACAGTGGGGAATCACTGAATTATTGATAAATAAAGAAAGACAACGATGTGTTCAAACATTATTTATTAATTTGTTGATCTGTTTATCAATTTATCTTTATTTTTCGTTAATCAGGTCGTGGTGTATACTTTTTCATTAACGTCAAGAATGCACTACTGGTCTCAGCATAAAAATATATAAACGGCGCAAATAAACTTTCTCAAAATCAGTAACAGCTAATATGTGCGCAGAACGATGACGAATTATGGTACAAATACCCTTATAAGAAGAAGTACTGCCCAGTTTGAAATGTATGCATTAAGACCCTCAAATATTCGGTGCCATAGCAACACGCCTTGTAAAGCAAATCTAATCACATTGAGCGGGCAGCCGAAATAGCAGAACAAACTACAGCAGTTGGAAACTACTGAAAGTGACTTAATGTTCACGGAAACTCGTCATAGTAAGATTGTGCGAAAGTTGCACAAATGGTGCGACGGTGAAAGTTCCTTAAACGATGAATTACCATAACACGTTTGAAACCTAGTTATATTTACATGGTACGTCACAAGGTCTCAAAATAGATAAATTGCGCAAAACTTAAATATCACAAATATACTGAGAATTGGTCATAGTTAAGTTGTACGTAAAATGTACGTCATTAATTTAAAGCAAACCACAGATTTGCAACATTCATAATTATATTTTCTACTCATAAAATCGCAACAGTGGACAATCGTAGGCCCACTTATTGACTCCATGCTGTTGACCTTCGCAAAGAAAGCACAATTAAAATGCATTAAATGTGGTGAAATAACCTATCCTAATTGGTTAAAATCATGAAGCATCTTTACCTTTACTTAAACATCGATATATCACTGAGTGATTCGGATGGCCCAACTGTATCTACGATCCAACTACTATCTGTGTTTTCTGATGTCTTAACAGTTACACTGTCTTTGCGCATGCAAAAACACATAAATATCACTAAATGTTCATGATTTTGTAAACTGTTAACATGATTTTTGCACGAATAACGTTTCACGTCCTCAAAATACGTATCACCCACCGCCCTTAGAGAGCGCCCCTTCAAAAGGTAATGGTTTGTACATAACTTAGCGTTCCGTAACTCATTCAATGGGCCGTGTAAACGTTTATCGTTCAGGCACCTAACGTCCCGAACGTAAAATATTCTGAGCTTTAAACTTAAGACTTAGATGAAAGAGTGTGTAGTCAGATCAGCACGTCTTTTTTATCCTATGACGGTAGATTTTTGAGAGCTAATCGCAATTATACTCTGTGCCATTGCTGCCGGCCTAAGCTGGATGTTGTATTTTCATTCATAGTTCAGATTTGTTCAACGCAATGTGGCGTCCTCTTCTCGGTTGTTCGGCTATAATGCCAGTACCTGAAGACTTCAAGAACGACATAAATTCAGTTTCTGATCAGCCACTGAAAGGAATTCCTCATGGCTTCTCCACACTACTGGCAGGGAGAAACACCTAAGAGTGATACAATGTTTCTTTCTTGTAAACAGTGAATTTCACAGTGCACATTGAACATTGCGCGACTTGTAAAGATGTCACATAAATTGTTTTCTCTATAGTTTGTAAGTAACGCAGGTGTTCTGTTATCATCATCATGTTATTATCATAACAAGGAACCTATCAAGGTTGCCATGGTGACGCTTTACAGTCTGATCGTTTCCTTTGGCTGCTCACGGTGGCGTTCAATCTAGTGCCTCCTTTGCAACAGATTTCACAGAGCTTCATCATGGTCAATCATTTTCAGAAGAAAATGGCAGTCCGAAGTTTTAATGAAGCTTTTTTATCGCAAATCCCTCAATGAAAAATAGCTGTTTGGTTCCAAAGTTCTTCTGTACCAATTAACCCGTTTTTTCATGTCCAAAATTACGACGATGAAGTATGATCTCTTCAGCCGCACGTGACTGAAACATCATGTTACAGCAAGAAAAAAAAAGAAAAAAGTTCGGTTTCCTACAGTTATGCACATCCACATTCGTCTATGATCATTTTGGGTATGTCACTCTGAACTATCTCACCATTTTCGTTTAGGTACAGTATAGATAGCGTGCTCATCTTTTTCGGGCTGCAGCAAGGTGTGATATGTGCATTCTTAGACTTATATCCCCGTACTACAAATGAGTGGTGGTGTATAAATCTGGAGGGAGAAGGACTGAGCCCGCAGTTGCCTTGGCAATAGTTGGCTTGGTAACCAGGCGGGGCAAGTATCCAATCCCAGCCCAGCTCAGAAAAGTCCACGTACAAATGCTTTTTACAACAGTCAGATTTAGGGTCACATTCTGTAGAACGCCGTTTCTTTCCGGCGCGAAAAAAGTCTGAAAAAGATGAATGTTTTTGTTCAGTTCGAATAATTAAGAACGGCCTCCTTTTGTTTAGATTTTTTCTTTTGTGGACTTGGAAATCTGGCAAAGGTAATCTTGAAACGCTTCGGACACGCTTGACTCTTTTCAGAAGTCGATCTCTTTTCCTGCGCCCTTTTGACATCTTTTTGGCCAAAATTGGCTGAATAAAATTCGGGCAGTCAGAGCAATGGATAAACAGTCTCAAATCATTAAAATGGCTATTGAACATTGGCTGAACTAAACTCTTCGGTACAGTGATTTTCTGCCATGTCGTGTGGCTTATCGTTAAGTCATGCGTTTCGATAAGTTCCCGGTCCTTGCCAGTGTGTTCAAAGACTTCGTCTGAATACATGTGGTAAACCTTCAGTGTGATCCGCCTTGGGTATCTCTTCTGTCCCCCTGGTGGTCGTTTGTAGCGCAATAGAACGAAGAGTTCTGCGGCCTTGACCTCCAGGTTGGCGTCTTGGTACTGCCCCGACACCGTGAAGTAGATGACGTTGTTATCACTGCTGTTTCCTGTAAATGTAGGAAAGAGACATAAATGTGAATACTTTGAACTGTGAAATATAGAAACGTTTATGAACAGGTTGCAATCATGGAACCAAGCAACCATCCTGCAATTGACTTTCACTGTGGGCTAATTCCACCAAGCACCCAATCAATCGATGAATCGATGGATCAAGTAATTAAGCGGTCTTTTTTTTTCTTTTTTTTTCTAATTTTCATTTTTAAAATCATTCTGAATTAACAACAGTCAATAAATTCTTAGCCACATGACATCATGCCCGATACAGTATCAGAAAAGTTAAGTGTCACAAAACACGCCAAGGCACCTTCCAAACATCGTTTCACAACCATCAGACATCCCATTGATCCAGTTCAGTCCACAACAAGACGTATATTTCAATAGGCTAACCTAACTGCGATAGCCTGATGTTGGTCTGTTGCACACCTGTGAACACTTAATTGATAGAACTTACACCAACCGTCTTCCTCACACAATGTGTGGTACACTTTCACCAACTCACCCAGCGCACTCATCTCTACCTGCCTAAAACCACTTTAATTTATGAATACACTGTATCTATTGCCATTTCTAGACAATTCGAATGGGTAAATCAAACGACAGATGATACCATGTACTAATATACCAGTTTCCCCCCCTCCCACCCTAGCAACCTGAGAAACTCCTGCAATACGACGAAGAAAGTTTCTTGGTTTCAGTTTTGACATAGTTCTGACCCGAGCGCTGCCTGAGTATATAGGTTAATATGTTACATTCCCCGCTCTGATTCCATTAACACGTCAATTGGAACCCCGAGTGCTGAACCTGGTTTCAGTTTACCCGCCTAGAAGAATGGGACTCGAGCCCCGTACGCGGCCCATTAGGATCTCTTGGTTTTATTGATTTGTCAAAACTTGGCACAGTTAGTCCAACGTGGTGCCAATACGAGAGGCTGCTGATGACTGTAGAACGTAACTTCACGCGGAGTAAGGTTAAAAAAGCAGTGGCAGAACTGTTTCACTTGCACGAGAGGGAAATTGTGTTGTGAAACAATGGCGTGCGCGTGTGAGGAGAGACAGAGAGAGAGAGAGAGAGAGAGAGAGAATGGGAGAATGAGAAAGAGTGAATAAGAGAGAGGGAGAGAGAGGGGGAGAATGGGAGAGAGAGATTGAAAAAGGGAGAAAATGAGAAAGAGAGAAAGAAAGAGAGAGAAAAGAGAGACAAATGATGTTATGTGATGTGTGGGAGGGATGAAAGACAGATGGGAGGAAAAGTGAAGGGATAGAGAAGAGAAATGGGCGGATACAGTAATGACAGTGAGACGGAAAAGTGAAAGCACATTAAAAAAATGATGTGCCATCTTTGCACTTCCTGTGTCTGGAATGCACTAGTTTGCACTTTCTACATGTATCCTTTCTTTGATCGTTTCATTAGCTTTGTCTAGCATATACTTCTGACTTTGATTCAAAATCAAAGAATTACTTCTATTTCGGTGGTTCATTTCTAGGAACCGCTGGCAGAAGTTACGTTATTCTAATGAGATTTCCAAGAAATTAAGTGCGCTTTTTCAAAGGAAAAGTGTGAAGGCTCCCTATCAAATAACATACGTTTTATGTAATGAATTATATGTTTCTCGCAACCTTTTCGGCTAACAGTCACAGGGGCGAATTTAGAGATATTTTTTGACAGACTTCTTAACCATCCATCCTCCTTTTTGACCGTCTTCTGACAGAAAAAAATTAGATGCCCGTCAATGTAAACTTGAATATTTCTGACCGTCTTCCGGAAGGCCCCCCAGAAGATGACTTCCGTCTGCCCCTGGTTCATATTTGGGGTCTCACAAATGTCACAACTTTTCCTGGAAATTAGTTTTGTAACACCATAACAGTTCTCAGGGTTACAAATACTTTCAGAAATTTTGCAGATGCAAACATCTATAGGTCCCCTGCGTGCGAGAAGACTGCAGGAATTCAAAAGACTGAAAAAAGAGAAAATGTTCAGAATAGAAGATAGAAGACTTTGAATAAAAGGCTATAAGAACAGGACGAAGAACATTAATTGGAATTTACCGGTAACCAATTAGGATAATTAGAAGGGCTGTAACAATTATATATAAAATTGGCTTCATGTAGCCTAATACAGGGCGGTGCTGTAGTCATAAAGAGTGAGGCCAAAGGGTTGTAACCAAGTTATGCAGACCAACAATGAACATGAGTTACCAGAACTTTAATACTCAGTGAAGGAGAAGGATATTTCTGCTATATTTTGTTTTGTTTTATTTTATTTTTGCTTGGCTTCTATTACCCTCTATCACCAGAAGCCAAATGCCACACGTCTCATCAATTTTTAAGAAGGAAAGAGGGAAACACCTTTCCATCCCAGTATGGTTATCATATCCATAGCGATATATATAGTCCTACGCTAACCTATAAAGGGAGGGGGGAAAGATGGTGGACACAGTTCTTGTTGACGTATACAGACGAATGGCAAGGCTTCTGATACGCAGGGTGATTTGAGAAAAAATCCCGAGGAAGTGTTCTTCAGCTCACTAGAACGCCGTGGAAACGCTTAGAAGAACATACCATCAGGTGCGCATGCTCACTTAAGCAATAAATTGGAATGAAAGTGCGGTGCCTGTGCCAGCTTTCTGCCTTGGGATCACAGGATTTCTTAAGTCGCAGTAACAGATGGGGGGCACAAACGCACACAGAGACAGAGAGAGAGAGAGAGAGAGAGAGAGAGAGACAACGTACATGTATAACATGCGATTAAGATCAACACGGTGCAATAAAACTAGGAAAATAAATCAAAATCTTAAATTTATATTGACTACTCTTCCTCAAATTTGAAGCAATTAAAATGACAATATTGAAATCAGTTATAACAAAAAGATATAGGTACAACGTCTGGCAATAGTGCAACACTTATGAATCAAGGACAAGTATTAATAGTCTCATGGTGACTGGAGGGTTAAAACACAAGCACCTCGCATTGGACATCGGACTTAAGGGTCATTTAGTGCAACCGGGGTCATCCACTGATCGAATACCATGGCAGTTCTTGAAAGAACCTGCTTAACCGTGACCCTCAAAACGCACAGAGGAATTCCAGCTTAAATGTCGACGGAGCAGTTGTATACGTATATCATAGGCATGGTATTCGGCCCTCGTTTGATTGATGGAGATTTAATTGTTACAAATTCGGAAGTTTTACTCCTGCTGTGTAAAGTTAGATCGGCGAAATTTTATGTAACGTGTATCCGGCGTAGAGCCGCGTTGCTGGAAGTCCTGCAAACTGCACATGATAAATGCTGGGATTCACGTTCATTAAACCCTGATGAAGTCAAAATAAGCAACACTAGTCCATTCGCGCCAGTTCCTAGTGTTAACTGTATATTTGGCTAAAAATAATGTAGATGACCATTATTACTTATGACCCCCCAGCCCCCCCCTCTTGAAGGGGGGTGGGGGGTAAGTAAATTCCTGAGGGGGGTTTATCTGTCCTGTCCATACACCCAAGGGATACATGTATGTTGGTACATAATTCTTGTTTGCTTAAAAAAGACAAATCCTTGTAAACACGTCAGACCTCAAAAACTGCTACTTTAGGCAAAAGTGTTCAAATATTGCTTAAATTTCAGAATAAGTTTTGTTTAAAAAATGAAGCACATCCACACCATCTTATTCCTATCTACAGATTTTTTAAGGAGTGTTGTCTAATATTTCGCTTCCAAAACTGTAACTTTTTACGATATTTATCGATTTTCCCCAATCTACAGACTTGGTCATCTCCGCATAGTGATTAAACAGCGAGGGAACATGAACTGATGAGGACAAACCTTTTTTTTTTTTTTTTTTGCTGATTTCCGGTAAATTCCTTTGAACAAAAGACACCATTTATGTTACAGCGTATTCCAACTTAAGGCATAAAATTCCATAGCACTGCTGTTGGTGTCATACCGGCTAAAGATGCCTAGGTATTCTTTGCTTTTAGCGTACTATGTAAACTGTCCATTAATATATATATCTTCACTGGTATCCAGCTCAACGCTATACACGTTCAGGGACCCTATTTAATCCAACGCATGGCCTCGATGCATAACCAACACATTGGGCCGAAAACAGGGACAGGTAGTAAAATGCTCAGAACTTTCTGAAATCACATGTTTATAGTATCCTTAGAAACAATTCCGACCGCCCGGAGCAGAGGGCTTTGGTGGCTTGGTAGCCTGGAAGTTGCCCAAGACTGAGTGCTTTCAGTGGAATAAGCCGATACTGGCTTCTGGAGTCGAGCAAACATTGCTCAATTAGGAAGAGCTCTTGCCAGAAGTCGCCTACTATGTCAAACAGAAGATTGATTTCAAAGAGGCACAGATTCCAATAAAAGTTCCAACTTTGGTAAAAGTTTTGGGTAATCGCTGGAAATCACTCGATAAACCAAATGTCCGCCCTTACTTGACACAATGACGTGGAAATTAAATACTTAAAATAACAATATTAAATCATGATGTTTCAATGTGAGGCGGGTCCACTTTAACGGAGGTACTTGGATTACTCGAAATCTGTGATTAATCGGCGGCAATGGTCGGATATGTTCTAATAAGTTATCAGATACGGCGTAGTTCCTGTTATAAAGATGCAAAATTGCCCTTTTTTACGTGTTTGGAGTCTGAATACCGAGTGATGATTAATCGTAGTGAAGGTGTCAAAAATAAAAGTGCACCATTGTTATTAAAATCATTCACATTAGTGTATAGTTGTAAACGTGTCAACGTCGTAATTATTAAAGAATTAATGCAAAAAAACTAAGTAGATGAAAAAAAAACGTGGCGAACTTTTAATTATAACAATGGAAAAATGTTACAATGAAAATTCAATGAAATTTCACATTAAAATGACGCATGAATATTTCCTCTAGCCCATTCAAGTTATGCCTCTTAAGTTCTTGAAAGGCCCATGGGGCGCTCTATTGAAAAAACAGCGTCTCTCCTATACTTATTGCCATGAGTAAA